AAATTCCTCCTACATAGGGGAGTTCAAGTAAAGGAGCCCCAAAAGGTACTAATGTTATCAGCAACTGAAGAATCTTGATTCACTGCAATTTGGAACAGCCGGGGAAAAGCATCAGCCAAGGGACCTTCCTCACACCAGGAATCCTTCCAAAACTTAATTCTATCCCCTTTTCCAACTTTAAACTGGACCCCGTTCATGAAAAGAGTACTGAACTTAGAAATACCAGCCCAGAGAGAGCTACCCCCAAATGAAAGGGGATCAAGAGTTTTCCATTTAACTTTGCAAATTTACCCAAATATAACAGCTAATATCATCAACTTAGAAGACTATAACCATCCAAAATTAACTCAAAAATCATGAAACAATTATTTAGGCTTTGAATAATAAAAGGAATTGTTAAGGTGCACCGCTTAAAATTACAGATGGCATTCCTGCTTTTGTTGATTCATGTGCTTCAGTTCTGGTTCACGATCTTACCAAGTCTTTTAAGTTACATTTGTCCATCAACTCAAAGATGACTCGTATGGATAATGAGAAGATAACATTATATTATTTCATGGTAGTGATGCAATGAACTAGTGACACAAACAATGCATATTTCAAAGCTCTATCATGCCAAATACACACAATCACAGATTTAAGACAACAGTGGGAACTACAATTATTTTTATTCCTCCGTGATCCTTTTTAAAATTAATTATCCATAATATCCTAATTAGTTCCACTAATTTTAATCCTTTTCTTCCTGTCAGATTTCTCAAACAATATTAGTAGGCAGATCAGCTTGGGCAGTAATTCCTTTGGCAATAATCTGGGCTACATGGAAGGAATGAAATTCTCGGCTTTTTGACAATAAAAACTCAGTGGAATTGTAATTAATTCAGCTTTTAGCTTGATTAGGGACTAGCTCTGCACTGGCAATATTTACAGCAGAGAGTTCTGCCGTTCTTTTTTGTCTATAGACTTTTTTGAATCTCCTTAAGTGGTTCTTTAATATAATACATTACCTTACCTTTTTCAAAAACAAATATGTTTAATATACTTATTCAAATTCAGAAAACAGGACGTCTAGTCATTTTGGTTGATTGGCCTCTACTGGGAAACCAAGGGCTTAATATTCCTACTTTATATTCTAGACAAATATCACCATTCTAAAATTTTTTTGATGAATTTTTGGTGGTGATTAATCAGAACTTGCTCCTACCAAGGCAACTAGTTCAATTTTTCTGTTATTTCACAAAGGCAACCAATTCTAGAACAGTTTTACATGGACACAGATGTGGGAATCAGAACCTGACACATATCTGGGAGCCTAACTTGCCAAGACAAAAGAAAAGCAAGGACCATGGACACATCTATAGAAAAGTATAAACTATTAAAATAGTCCATATGTAATTAAGTTTTAACATTATAAAAAAGTTTAAAAGATTATCTTTCTTAATAACATTTTGCAGGAAAAATGGCATTAATTGTATACATTAGCTGATCATTTATGTTGAATAAGCAAAGAGAAAAAGAAATATGTTGCATAGGAGTGTCCTTTGAGAATCCAAGGAGTGCCAAAATCTGATGCTTGTCTGGCAATGACACTTCATCTATTTAGGAGGTTCCATGCAATATTGCTTTAGAATGATTAATTGAAACTAGTTCTTTATTTTCTTTCAAATGCTTGCTAGATGCTTCTTGACCAAGTTTATGCTTGTTTCTTCTACTCATCTTTTGATCAATATTTGTTTCTTCTACTCATGGTATCAAAATAAATTCAGAGAACTCATTAGTAAATACGATAAATATGCTTCCCAGGTTCCATGGTCAGATTATGTATAAGTTTTTATTTCCAAGTCCCATAAAGACTTATTCTGAGCTTAGCTCAGATGCATAAACTTGCTCACTTCAGCAAGCTGATTGTGCCTACATTTTGACAAGAAAAACCATCCAGATGTTTAAGAAGTTTGTGCTAGAAGCAATTTTATGGGGATTAACATGTCCCTATAGCCTATATTGAATACCTGGTGAAGTTGTATGTTATGATGATTGTTTGACTTAATACAAATACCATCAAGCAATAGAGAGAAACACATCGGAAGTTACAGGAAGCTATTGACAACCATGATTTTTAGGGGACCTATCCAATCGTCCAATATCATGTCTTAGTATCTCTATCAAAACCCTGTAATTACAAAGCAACAAGTCCCTTAGTTAGCGTAGGAGGGTACATCCTGAAAGTACTAAACTTAAATCGATCTTCATGTCCAAGAAATGGTCTAAAGGATATACATCATAAGAGAAGCCAACCCTTACCAAAACAAGAGAAAACATCGGGAAAAACAAAGCCAATTCCAGATGTGAAAAGAAAAGTTAGAAAACGTGTAGATCATAAAACAGAACAAACAAATCCAATATTTGATCTTCAAATAAATAAAAAAAAAAAGTCCATACGAGGGAAGACAAGGAAAGATCATCAGCAACATCATGAATTTGAACAAAAGAGGAAAAAAGAGTTTGTAGAAATTAGAATTTATTAGTCAATTGCAGGAAAAAATAAAGACAAGGAAAAAGAAACTCCACAAACAAAGCAATGGGCATACTGCAAACAGAAACCATTAAGTATGGTCATCAGCATCATTATAAAAGGAGAAACACAGACGATAACAGCAAATAGAACAGGAAAACAGGAAAAAACTTGACAGGGGACTACTACGTGCTTTTAGATATATAACCACAACACTAAGTATCATAGATAATGGAATTTAGTAGATATGCAGGGAAGCATAAAAATCAAATAGATAAATGGAAGAAAAAGAAGAAGAAGAAAGTTAAAACACCTTGAGGGTACCCTTGCAGTGGTGGCATCGGAAACAAGCCTTGTGATAGACCTTGTTATCAGCTGTGAGCTGCTCTACCAAGTAAACTGTCTTCTCACAAGCCTTACATTTCTGAGTTGTCCCTGCAAAAGTCGCCATTTCTCCCTGTTTTTCCTTCTCTGAATCAGATAGAAAGACCCAGATAGGTTGTCAACCAGATTGAAGGATTTTTGAACGATAAAAAGAAAGGAATCGAGAAACCCAATAGGAAAGTGTTGTAGGAGGTCTCTCTCTCCTCCCTCTCTTAATCCAGCTCAGACATTCAAGAAATACCGGCAGTATTCGGAATTATATAAAAATATTTGATTGTTATCTAACCGCCACTGTTAATAAATAAGACAGCATGTGACGAAAGAAGTTACATACAAGCAAATTATGCGTTAGCTGTTTTATCGGCAGAAAACAAAAAGAAACAATAAAGGCGTGGACTCCAGTAGGGGAAGCTTACACGTTGTAGAACAGGAACGGTCCAATTTGCTTCCACACATCACCATCTCTGCTTAAGTCATACAAAGACAGCTCATAACTGCTGGTTTCGGTGGATGAACAAAATCATCGAAGCTTTCGTTTTTTGAGTTGTGGAAGGCCACTCAATACTTGTTATTCTTAATACTTTACTGGGGAAAGAATCCAAAGCACATTGCTGTGAACCACCATGCATGGCATAGACTGTCTGTAAAGTTAATTAGCCTCCAATGTGATGGTCCACCATAGATGTGCTTTCATTTTTATATTTTGAGTTTGTTTTTCGCTTTTTAGCATAGATTTGATCACAGGGAAAGCCGAAGCAGATTTGAAAATTGTCTTGAGAGAGAGAGACAGACAGAAAACAAAAAAAGAGCATTAAAGCTAGTTAGGTGGGCGTACGCGCACTATGTTTACCCTTTCGGCAGAATTTTTTTGGCTGGGGGTCGTTTAGGGGATTCTTTTCTTTTTTTGTCACAGATCACAGCTCATCACCTTTTGCCACTCGATTCTCAGTTCTGTTTGTTTTTCCTCACCCTGGACCTGCGTGGTGGACAGCAAGACAGCAAGTGCCCTGCCAGTTCAATCTCCGCCAAGTGTCAATTGAGCTCAGGATTGCAATTGACTCGAACCGGTTTCTCAAGTGGATTGAGAAAATGGTCAGCGGAACATCTACTCAATGAGCATCAGTCTTCTATTGTTGTAGTGAATACGATCAATGCAACTTAATGGGTGTTTGGCACTCGAGTGTTTTACAAGTGGGTTGGATTTATAAGTATCTTTTAATTTATTTTTTTAAATACAAAAAAAAATGAGCTGTAGGTCGATTGAACATTTAAAGTGATTTAACTTAATATTATAATAAATTTATAATGACAACTATATAACATCTCAGAAAAGAAGTAGATTTTTTTTAATTTTAATGTGCCATGTCTGCAAGGCAATTCAAGATCAGCAAAGTAATTCAAGAAACTCAATTTGACAATTCAAGAAATCCCTCTTTCCCCAATTTCAAAATCATTTTTCTGAAAAAACAAGATTTTCAAATACAATTTTCTTGTCGATTCCATTTAATTACTAGTGTAGCATGAATGACACATCAACAAAAATGAAATACTTGTAAAATACTCGAATGCCAAACACCCACTTAGTTCGTGGATTAATGGCCCACGATTTGAAAGGACTGAGTTGTCATGATAAGGGTACTGGGATAACATGCCATACACTGTTCACATGATTTTTCATCAAAGCGTCTTATACTCTATTGGTTTTTGCTAGTTTCTTAATAATTAATTTAAGTCTACCCGAATCAAACATGCCGAGCAAACAGCGCTGGCTACCGTTATAATAACCAGCATAGATCGGGTCATGAGCCAGGTGAATGGGCCATATCAACCAATTATTGAACTCTAGACCGAGCCAAAAAGAAAAACACAGTGGGAAATGTGGCAAGAAGTACTTGAATATCATTATCAGCTCTCCCGAGTCACCATCCAACCCAGAGTAAAATGAAAATAGCGTATATCAACTCGTGTAGATTTGCGATTCTTTTCGTCGTGCATTTGATGAGACTGAGTGGAATCCCACCAAAAAAATAGGTTAGACGGTTAGACCCAGTCGTTTGACTCGGATGCTACCAGAATGTTCTGGTTCGTCTATACGAACTACAGTTTTATATTCTATGATCAAACCTGCTCCTCACAGAGCGCGCCTCACGCCGGTCTCACTGCACGTTTATCCGTAAATCTGAAGCATCTCCGTATTCGAAAATATTTATTTATGGAAAGAAGTTCCCGATGCACGGATTAAACGTTTCATGTGATCGGTGTGAGGCGCGCTCCGTGAGGAGCAGATCGGAACTCAATTTTAGAACCATTGTTAACTGTTTTATATTAATACAATAACGCAGAGTTAAAGGACAACAGAGGCTGGTCATCGGTGACACGCGGATCCTGTAGGCGACTCATTTTCTATCTAAACTAAAACAAGAGGGCCACCCCATCTTTGAAATTGTGATCCTATTCCAAGTTTCCACTTTCCAGCCCTTGATTGGGTGAATCACGTTTCGTCGCCGAAAGCGAACTGATCCGTGATCAACGGATGATAGCGTTCTGATCTAAGTATTAAAAAATTAAAGAATTTAATAAAGGTCAACAGTCAAAAAGGAAAAAATAAATAAATTGCAGACGTTTAGTAGTTGGGACGGTCAAAGTATGAACCCCTCGAGCAGTCCGGCTTGGCGGCTTGATGAGCAGCAGCCAACCGGCAATCGCAAGGTATGTAATCCCACTAAAGAGAGAATGCTGGCTTCATTTTATAAAATGAAAACAAAATCCATACAATCCCTACACCATGAGTCCATGACCCATCAACATTCAGCACAACTGCACAAATAGGGATGCAATACTACAACTCCACTCTACGCATCGCAAGGGCATTTTCATCATCAATCGCTTGAGGCGAATCAATACACTATGTTAAATTTGTTTTCAGACATTTCCACACAACTCCAAAGTCAACAAAAACATACTTTCTAAGGATACTGCTTTCTAAGTTTAATTCAACTAAATGAAGCTAACGAGTTTGCTCCTACTTAGTCAGACAGCTTGAAACTACAGCTTAATAACACTCCTGGAAAACCTTCACTAGGAGATGGTGATTTTACCAAAATGAAAACATGATTTCTTACAAGGGAATATCTTGTTTATCATGCTCCCTCGCTTGTCGCACGTGCCTGTTTCCGATCTTCTTCCCGCATTACTGCTTTCACATAAATTTCATAACAACAGCCTAAAAAAAATAGGGAATATAAGAATCACTTTAGAAACCTATTGGTCGAAATCAAGAAATTTAGGGGGGAGAGGGGGACTTGATATATTGGATACTTCTGGTTCTGTAGATTGATGGTCAACAGAAGCACGTCACAACCATCGGAAATTCAGAATGATAAATATCGATATAGGTCAGTTTTTGCAGCTTTGGTTCTTTTCTGGAGCAAATAAAAGCACTGCATTATACAACCAGAAGAATGATCCGCACGCTTTTTTCCCCTTCTTTTTTATAATTTCAGAAGCTTTTCCCCATTTCTTTTTTTTTTTTTAACTTCCAGCAACTTGGGGGTGCTTCAGGAGTAGGAGGGCAACAAAGCTATCGCATGTTTTCCAGCATTTCATTCCATGGTGATAATGTAATAATGCATGTACCACCAACAACGAACAGTTGCAAATGAAGTAAAATAAAGTGAGCTAATAAGTGATAATATGTAAATTTCATAATTATAAAGGATCAAAATCATGGCACACCATATTGCCTAAACAGTGAAATATGCAGGTATGATCTTCAATTCTTCATTCTGATTTAGAATGCACTTAGCTGGGTGTGAACACAAAGCACAGTCATGCTCTGCATTGAAATCATGACCTGACTAGTAGTTTTAGTCTTAGGCTCCTAGTCCTAGCTTGATGAGAAAAGTAAGGCTTAGTTTGGAAAGAGTACAAATATATACAAAATATAAGGTTTCGCACTCTACATATTTGTATTTGTACCCTTCCAAACTGAGCCTAAGGCTGTGTTTAGTTGCAGTACAAATTTATTTGTACTAGTATAAATGCATGGGAGTGCAAATGTAAAAAATGCAAATTCTTGTTTAATTTTGTTTTAGATTTTACCTTATTCTGCTTCATGTCTTAATTTACTTCATTTGTACTGTAATCAAACAAAATAAGCTAAAATTTGAAACAAAAATAGGTCAGAATTTACATTCAAATCATTTGCACTGCCATGATTTTGCATTGGTGCAAATTTATTTGCATTGCAACCAGACAACCAAATCTCAAATGTGTCACAAGTATGGCATCATAAAATGATATGGAGTACCAAATTCTGTAGACATAACAGTTACCACTAGATAAAGCACATAAATGACCAGTTCCCCATAATATTGATTAATAAGTTAATATTTTTATATTCTGAAAAGAAGATGAAAAATGATGAGACACCAGAAAGGGGGAAAATGCCAAGCACACAACTTTGCAAGCAAGAATAATGTACTTTTCCCAAAAAGCCTCATTTTTGCTCCTGAAAGTACATATAAATTAGATGTCCTATTCCTCCAAATTTACAGGTTGTACTTGGATTAGGGTGTATCTGTCTTAGTAGCACTGGAATTGTCAACTCTGTGCATCTCTGGATTCGATTGTTTAGGTCAATTTCCTGGTGCAGTTGCAACCAGTATAACAGGAATTTAAATCCAATTCCACCCTATCTCTGTGTGTGTGTGTGAGAGAGAGAGAGTAATGTTGCTATATTTTACCTCAAACTAATCCCAATAAACTCTTCAATGAACCACCATCATCCCCCAAACATTCCCCCAGATATAGCAAAGAACATTGGGGGATACAGCAGACTGTGGCATTTATTTCAACTAGTGCTATGACCCTTTATTCTTCTTAATATAAAAGATTTTTATTAAAAATAAATAAAAAATGAGATCCCCCCTTCCTCTTCTTCCTCCTGACCCCCCCCCCTCTTAAGGAGGCTTACGCCTCCTTGTGTTTGGGAGGCTTACACCTCTTACGTTCTGAACTACGCCTCACGCCTCTAGGTAGTGGAAAGCCTCATGTCACACCCCCGCGTTTTAAAACATTCACTTGACTATAAGAGTTAAGTGGGTGAGAAGAACTGCCAACAACTTGGCAGATGGTCTAGCTATGCAAGGGGTACACAGAACTCAATTGTAATATCTGAGTGGGGTCAGCTTTTCCATAGCTGTGCTTTTATTCTCTTTTCACAACCTCTTGTTGTACTCATGCCTATTTTTTATTAATGAAATCATTTCTGTGTTTCTGATAAAAAAAAAAAAGCTTGAGAGGTGCAATTCTGTGGGACTGTGGTGTGAAAGGAATGCTGACTTTTTGAGGAAATTCACAAATCAGTCGAAGAAGTTAGAGCTCACTCTAATCAGGGTGGCACATTGGGTGCTGGTGACAGAGGAAAAGGAGTTTTAAGGGGATGGCAAACAGTAGTGGGTTTCCAAGTGAGCAAACAGCTAACTTTGCTGGTCCGGCCTCCTGCAGCAGGTTTAAGCAAGTTCAATTTTGATGGGTGTTACCTTGGGAATCCAGGACATTCAGGAGTAGGGGGTGCTGTGAGAGACCACAATGGTAATATCAGTTTTACAGGCCCAGCAGGACAGCTTAACTCTTTAAGGGCAGAATTGCTTGTGTTAACTCAAGGCTTGAAACTAATACAGCAGCAGGGGTGGAGAGATGTGGTTGTGGAAGGGGACCATAAAACTGTAATATGTTGGATGAAAGCACAAGATCACCTACCCTGAGAATTTAGGCAGTTGGTGAGGGGGGCAGTAACAAGTGGGATTTCAGTGAATGCCTCATTCGATTGGGTTCCTAGGTTTGCAAATGTGTTGGCAGATTCCTTAGCAAGAGCAGGGGTGGGGAAAGAGTTTTTAGTTTGGGGCTACCCAGGCCCAGGTTGTAATTTGTAATTCTTTGTTGTTGGGTGTTGTTTTATAGTGGTGATTATACTCCTTTGTAATTTGTTTTTGCTCTGCTGCTCTATTTTGAGCAACTGGATTTTTGAAATATATTCAGTTACTTACCAAAAAAAGCAGGATTCATATAGCCAACCCCATGTGGTTGGGATAAAGCTTAGATGATGATGATGATGACAATCCTTATATCTACCCCAGTCCAAGTAATTGATGTGTGGGTGTCCAACTAGAGGCTTCAAATGTTACCATGCATAAAATAATCAAGAAGAATTTGAAGAATAACTAAAAAAGTTATCTTACATTTTTATCTTTTCTTTTTTTTTTTTTTAGGGGGGGGGGGTCATTTTGGAGGTGGGGATCATGATACCCAAACAACCGATCATCTTATGTGTGCTGCTTTTAGGTATATATTTCTCCCATAGCAGGCTAAAGAGCTCAGGAACCTATTAAATTCATCTTGTTCTCACTATTGCAGGGTAAATCCTGAACCTTCCAGTTAAGTTCTTATTTAGAATTGTACCAGTTGTTGGAGCAGCAATGTCATACTTCTTCTATAGGTAAAGATGTTGTAATGAGGTTCCACGAATGCAGTTAGTATTACAATCAGAGATAACCAAATGACTACTAACTGGTAACATGTCTGTTGTGAATAGCAATTATAATCATGCTCAATGCACTTGAATAGCTATAACATTTGATCAATATCAAACCTTACACTTTGAGTTCTCTGTCACAGTGGTAATTTTTCCACCTATAGAAAGAAGCAAAATTGCCACACGATCTTCTCTTATAAAAGTAATATTTGACCGAATTAAATGACAAAGGATATCCATGTATACCATGAAACGGATCCCTTTTAGTTTTAAGTAAAATTTCAACACTGTGAAATGGTTCATTTCTGTTGTTAAGAAAAAACACAAATGAGTTGATTTCCTTGAAAGCCCAAAAATAACAGTTCTTATTCTTTAATATGTATTGCTAACCAGAAATGGCTCCATTCAGATTGTGGACTTTTGCTCGTACAAGCAAAAGAATAAGGATGCTAAGGATGAAAAAAGTTAACATTTTTACCAAGAACCAATCCAAATGATGTTTGGTTATAGGAGCTTTGAATGCAGGTATGGAATCTCAAGTAGCAAAGGCAAAGAATTATAATAAAGCAAAACTACATGCATTGAATACTAAGTTTATCATTTTAAACATTACACATAAAAAAAGGTCATTAACCAATTTAGAATATTATCACTTATGATTGCCCTTAAAATGCATTATTGAATTTGATTAACTTGTCAACCAATTTGGAATGTTAATAAAATCATCAGGCAATTTTTTAAAATTACCTCAGGAACAAAAACTATAACAACAACCAACTCTAGGACTATCACAGAAGTACATCTTGCAGATAAACCTATTTTTCTTTCTTTGTTCACCCCCTTCTTATTTGATTGTTGCAAAAATTAACAGTAAATCAATTTTTAATTAATAATAATAATCACTTATTAAATATGGAAAGGATATTAACCCCTGTAAACAGAAAATCCAATTTATAATGAGGGAAATGGCATACCAGCAACGACAACAATAGTGAGCACATCCCCAATTCGTTTGAGTCTCCAAACACTCTTCTTATGTGATTTGAACCACTTTAATGCAGGATCTTCTTTCAAGAGCTGTAATGTGAAATAATTGGCCTTTTTCAATACAGAAGTACATGACAACTAAGAAATCTCAGATGTTGCCTACAAATCCATTTAGTTGTTCTAGAAAGGGGGTGGTCAAGACTCAAGACAGTTAAATGGAAAAATGGTTCCTCAAAAGAAAATGATTGGTAACAAGATGAAAAATAATTTCTGTTCAAGGAAAAAAAAACAAGATGGAAGAGAACTTATTAAGAACAACAGGATAGGAAGGAAATATACTATGACAATGTTTCCCTTTTGCAGTTGGTTAATAATTGTATACTCTTAGCAGGATAAAACAGATGGAAAATGACTTAGAAGCTAGATTCAGCTGGGTTTGAAGGTCAGCCAACAGCTTAGTTGATGTTGACTAGGCAAGAGGCAGGAAGGAGACTGTGTAGTGTGTACTAGGGTTTGGTCCCTCCAAGGGGGGTGAATGTAGTACATAACATTTAAACAATTTGTAATTATATATAAATGGGGGGCAGCAAGTGTATTTCAAAATAGGGGTTACTTTGTTACTGATAAAAAAGAAAACATAGTTGTATTCCAAAATAGGTCATCTTCTCAAGACGCCATATTAAGCAGAGTGATAGGGATGATTCATTCTTGGTTGGTCATTAGAAAGGAGTTTAGGGAGGTTCCTCATAAGTTTCTTTTTTTTTTTGATTCATTGTATAGATAGATCTATATATGGTTTAAGTGTATGAGCCAGTACAATCCCTTGATGTACAGGAGCTGAACTGCACACCTCTTTTCTTTTTAACATACTAATTCAATACATACTTTACCTTTTCAAAAGAAAAGAAAGAACAAGGTACAAATACTAGAAGAGGGGAAAAATAAAGAACCCTAGGTTACATCAATCAACTTCCTCATATGCTCCAATGTAGCACAGACACTTTAGTCCGGTAGTATAGTGGAACCACAATGTAATAATATATTCATAATTTCTATCAGATGGCATCACGTGCATGAATAATTTATTAAAGAGGAAGGAATGGAGGGAAAAAGATATAATCATCAAACCCCAATAACAAGGCACAATACAAAATTCTTACAAGATGGCAACCGCCCTCCAAAAAAAAAGGTTTGAATCGTTTGATTATAACCAAGTGGCAATAAGCAAATGATTCTAGTAAGGCTAGCATCCATATACCCAATATTTGCTCCTCCCAACCCCCCATTGATAAAGGGATCCATGTGAACAAGATAATCAGATTAGAGATTGGAGGTAACTTCTCTGATGTAATGGACCAACTGCAAATGCCCTCTGATTCCTCTCACATTCATTCCATGATAACCTGTTAACCCCCTCCACTTCCACTCAATAAAAATCACAAGTAATATATCAGTCTAAGACCATGAACCCGGGCAAATAACCAAGCCAGCTATTCTGGAAAAATCTCTTTCAATCTTTCACTACCCTTTCTAAAAAAGGTAACTCCTTCAGATGGTCCTTTAACAGTTTTAAGGTATATCTCATGGCCATCAAGATAGGCCAACCACTGTAAGTGAAAATTTACATATCTCTCCACCAGTTTTTGCCATGTTGTTGCCACATAGATGCACTTAACCATATCAGCAACCACTTGAGAATTGAAATTCCCTTGCTCCCCAATCTATCAAAAAAAAAATTCCCTTGCTCCCCAAGATGCACTGAACTGTCTCTCTGGATACTCTACAGGGCATTTCTCTAAGCCAACAAAGATGTTAGCAGAGAGAAAAAAGTTACAATAAAAGAAATTTCTTAGCTCTATTCTTTTATGAATTTAATATAATATAAGAAATAAATTAACACAACAAGTTTACAGTTAGTGCCTTCTATTTCACACAGTATAATAGATTGGATCATAATCCTTTTACAATTCTAGAGTAGAGAGGAACACATTAATTAAATCACATACAATATAATAACAAAATTAAATAAATAAACAGCAACATCGCCACTATCAACCAATCACTAGATAAGAAATGGTGGCATCATCAGTGTCATCAATGATTAAATTCTTAAGGCTCAGTTTGGAAAGAGTACAGATACAAAGTGTACAGTGCAAATGCATACAACATAATATAAAATATAAGGTTTTGTACTCTACATATTTGCATTTGTACTCCTTCCAAACTGAGCCTAAGCAAAAATGTGATGCATCAAACAGAACTTTTTCCCCCGTTTTGGAAAGAATGGTTATTATGAAGACTTGAAAAAAATGACACGATAGATATAAAACCATATTGCTTTAACAGACATATTTGAAATACAAAGCAGTGATAGTGAATAAGAGAGCTTTGAGAAAAAAAAATGATAGCACAAGTTGGAGATCTGTAAAAAGTGTCGCACTAGCGTTTCTTCAAGCTGACGCCAATCTATTTACAACAGATCATTTTACCAAGCAAAGTAAAAAAGCTAATTAGACCTCCTGCAGAATTGGTTCGGGATAAATACTTTTGATATAACGAAAAGGAACTCAGAAACGGAACCATCGTCTTCCAAGCGATTTTCCAGTGCCTCCTATAAGAAAATTTTGTTTTGTTTCTTGTAAGAAGGGATTTCCATTTAATGTTCGTGATTTATGGTCTATTACTGCTAAGTTTTACGGTTTCATACGCCACGATAATAGTCATGATCACACCAATACAACGAAAACCAATATATAGTTGGCAGCAACATGGTCCAATATCCTGAATGCGTCAGATAAAAGTCATTTAAATTTTAAAATAGAGAATGAAAACCAGAGCAAGCCGATCAAATCAATCAAATAACTAACTGAGTTAAATTGGAAAACAAAAAGGGAGAGAAGAGATGAGAAATACTCACAGCTTTCTCGCGAGCTCCTGGTTCTATGTGCATAGAACGGCGTGCAAAAGCAAATTGATTCTCCGTCTTCTGCTCGATACAGACATATAAAATCAATTAGAGAGAGAGAGAGAGACTGCGTGTGTGCATAATCTTGAAAAATAATGGTTCAATAAAGAAAGACAAGAAAACACCTCAATATTTGACTGAAAGCGTGAAAACATAGTGGTTTTGTTCAAGAACGCCATCACTGTAATATCAGAGCTTGAGAGAGGAGGATCGCAAGGATGAGAGGCCTTTCAGTTGTCAGCGGCGACAGTAGCAGCAGCGAAGCCGAATGGCTCCCCCCGTCCCCATCATCGATGATTATATTTTGGGAAATTTTCTTAAGCCATCCTTATGGTTTAGCTAATTTACTAGTTATACCCTTCTGTTTAACTATCTCTAGACCCTTACCGCCTTCGTTAAATCGTTATAAAAAGAATAAAATGTCTATTTTACCCTAAGTCAATTAATCACATAAAAGATAAAATTGCCCTAAGTCAATTATCACCATCGCGTGCAACGGTGAAAAATAGTTTCCTGTACATTTTTATGGTAAAAACGTTATTCATTATTTTTTCACATTTTTACATCGCCCGCAACTGTTGCGTTTGTTTCATGTGAAATGAGAAGAAAACAAGGTTTTGTGACTTTTGTCTCTTAGGGTCAAGCATGCATGGAATCATAAATTTTTCAGTTACCTCTTTATAATAAAATAAGGGTAAAATACAAAAACCTCTTCTAAATTTTTAAAAAGTTCGACAAAAACTTTCCTTCCATTATTAATCCGGACAAAAAATGTTAGACTAAAATTAATTTATATACATTTTACCTATCATAAATTAGTTTATATACATTTTTACTAAACTAACTCGGTACACAAGCTTTCTCTTCCTTGAAGTAAAATGCAAACAGTGATTTCCACGCGATAGAGTGAGTTTCTCATGGGTGGGTGAAGATGAGGATAACGAGAACTCTAAGAAAGTCACAGGGATTGAAATAGAGAGTTGTGACCGATCTGATTAGATTTCTTCTACCTTAAGCCAGCCCAATACCAGAACAATCAAAGCATTTCTTGGGCCAACCACCAATAAAATGGCAAAGGGAATGTTGTGGTGGTTGTTCTCTATCATTGAGTTCCGGAGACGAATTTAAGGAGCTTCGTTGTGAAGGGTTGAGAAGGAAATCAGAGGAGACAAACCCAAACTCCATACGAAAGGAATCCTTAAGTGTAGGGGCGGGTTCCTATGTAAATTTTTCCCTCCCCCCACTCTCTGCCTCAGCGGTTGGCTCCCCTATGGATCCATTTATACTTCATTTAGGTTTTGACCCCCCTTATAAAAATTTCCTGACTCAAATGAGATTTGTTGTATTGGAATGGAAAAATCCTTAGCTTTCAGGTTCATCGAGGGAGAGAACACAGGTATGCCTTGGGAATCCTCGACTTGGTCACCAAACTTCTCTTTATTTAGTATAATCCTGTTGTAGAGAGCCAGGGAACAAAGAAAAAATGAAAGAAAAAAAAAGGAAAAAAGATGATCGTGAATAGGTTATTTTTTCTACATGTGACCATTCCTCTTGAATCCATAAGATGATCAAGTTTTATTAAATCATTTGAGGGCAGTTCCATTCAATGCCCAGAAAAAAAATGGTAGAGCATGGGCATGGAAGATCAATGAATTACCATTGAATCAGATAGAATACAATTGTTTTATTTGATTGTTCTTGGGGAAAAATGAAAAGAAAACAGAGAACCAATTTTAGATATCGAGTGCTTAATATGATTTATCGGTTCAACTTGCGATAGATATTGTGTGAAAATCTCTGTTCGCATGTTAAAAGAAAGATTACATGTACTAGGTTATTTTAGTAAAAATGTATGTAAACTAATTTATAAAAGGATAAAATGGGTATTTAGAAAAATTGATCATCCGTCCAATTTTTCCATCTAAATTAGTGACAGAAGGGATGTTTTTGTCGAATTTTTTGAAAGTTCAATGGAGGTTTTTGTTAAAGTGAAACTAAAAGAAAGGTTTTTATGATTGTTAGAAACTTCAGGGGAGGATTTTATGCTCTTCCCATAGTGCTCATCACACTAACCTCACATCATCTTCAACTGTGCATTGGGAGCATCTTCCATACTTTATGGTGTCATTCATGTGAAGATGTTCCTGTGCACAATTTTCATGGATTGAGGTTTGCATGAGGAGTGATTTGTTAACCCATTACTTGGGTTTGCCAGTTTGGGCTTTCAGATAATGAGGGCTTATTCATTTGCTCTGAAATCTGACATCTGAAAGTGTAACAATTACATTATGAGGTATATTGGCATTGGTGAATTTTTTTTTCTTCTGAACTTTGAATGCATAGAATGTTGTTCTAAATTTTGAATTCTAAAAATTACCAAATATCTATTTCAATCCCATATATGAGAGTTTTTGTTTGTCTTTTTGGGAGTATCATTGAAAAACAAAAAGTTGTATGGTTACACTTTAAGAGATGAAAAGAAACGAACAACCAATTTTCTCTTAAAGTTAAAAGATTCATCTTATATAAGAGTTACGAGGAAACAAATAGGCATTGACTAGTGATACAACCCCTAACTTCCATTTGCAATAAAATATATAAGAGTTAAAAGATTCCAAAAAGTTGTTGTTTGGAAAAACAGCTTTGCCTTTTTTAAATAAATANATATATATATATATATATATATATATATATATATATATATATTAATGTGCATGACACATTAGTAGACAGATTTAGCTGAATGCAATAGCTATTAAGTAGGTTGTGGCCAATAATAACGTCCACACCAGTCCTAAAATATATGGGGCCTACAACCATTCAACCTTTCACTATTGGACCTATGTAATTTATCATTGGCATGGGGCATTATCATTGGTTTCACAGCCCACTGCACATTTTGAAACATATATTAATATATTATGATAATCTACATATTAAATTACTCAACTTAATCAATAAATATAATATAAGTTTTAAATTATATATTATCATTATTGTAAATCAAGATTTTAAAAGACATGCTTCATTTTTTTAAGGGGGAGAGTAAAGAAAGAACATATTCCACCAGTAGACCCTAGAATCGACCTTGAAACCATCAAGGCCAGAGTGGCCTTGGAACTGACCTTCATCCCAAAAACCTGGAATCGACCCCCTATAAGGTAAGTTATAGGTTCTGCCATGGAATCGAACTAAACCAACCTATGCTCACCCCTTCACCACTCACCCTCAACATTCACTCACATAAATAGCAAAATAGGATGATGAAAAAGAATTGCAATGCTGACTTCTTTCCAATTTTCTTGATATCCCTCACATAATAGAGACTAAAATGATACTTAGCTTTTTATGAAGAAATTTCTATATCAGGTAAAGAATGGCACAACAAACAAAAACCACCAAATGAAGGGGAATGAAAGATCACCGGTCATTATATTAAACTAAAGATGACAAAACAAAGTCTTCCACTCTAGGTACCCCTTCCTGATAGTCATTTAAACTAAAAGAAGATAAATAATGGAGTTTCGCTAATTGGGATACCTTGTGGGCTGGACTATTATATTTTCTATTTACATATACAAAAGGCACATGTCTATACTTTGAAACAAGAGAACTAATCCTAGATAAAAGCCATTGGCAGGACAAGGGTAGGGGAGTTTTCTATTGTAGAGCTTGAACAACTTGTTGAGCATCTAAGTATATCAAACTTCATGACAGATGAAATTTATTTAAAATAGCATATAATTGAAAGTGTCATAGATCTCCGTCTAAAAAGCCATCATGCACGGGAGACCATTTTCACCGGTAATGAAAAATAAACCGTTCCCGTTCTACCACTTCATCACCAGTACATGCCTTTTTTTGCATGAATCTTGATCTTTACGCAAGTCCTAACACATTGGTGTTACACAGTTTGTTAGATCAACCAATTTATGACTTGGAATCTGCTCCTCACACCGGCATTAGAGGCACATCTCACAATGCATTGAAAACATCTCCCATGAATACTGATGCTTATACGGGAGATGTTCCCAATGCATGGTGGGATGTGCCTACGAGATTGGTGTGAGGAGCAGATCCGGTCTCCTAATTTATAGCATATCATAAAAAAACCACATATCTGGACTCTTTTAATAGAGGTTGATGAGAAGAACACGTGGAGTTCTTCTATCCACAGCTATCATGCCACGTCAATAACTCAAGATGATCCTACGTCGTTTGGACTAATTTACAGAACGACCCGACCAGCAAATCCGTCAAGAGAAGGCCATAAATTTGGTGCACAAAGCCTACACACAATTGGGTGAAGGTGGTCCAGCCACGCCTATGCTGAAGCTTTAAGCTTTTCTTATGCACAATAAATAAATAAATAAATATTTTGTGATCAACTAACTTCGTTGGGTTCAACTGCGAGCACAGAAGCCGTAAGTGATGGCATTGAGAGCTGCTACTTTCGTTGGAAGGGAAAGGAGAACCGCTCTTCTTTCACTTCCTCGTCAACTCAGAATCAACCCTGCATCTGTTGCTCCCTCCTTTCGTAGAATTCCATCTTCCCGAAAACAAATTGGTAATTTGTTCTCACTTTCTCTGTTCTATTATTTTTGTATAGAAATTCATCCACACATTCCTCTCAATTCATCGGTTTTCACAACGCCATAGGACTAATTTCAGCTGTCAAGTACCGGGTTCATGCAATACGAGAGGTTGCAACGGAACCAAAGGCTTCTGCGACAGAGGATGATAATCAGTCATCTCAAAATTGGAAGATTAAAATGCTTTATGATGGAGATTGCCCGCTTTGCATGCGCGAGGTCTGTTCTGCATCTTTGATTTGTTTTTTTTAATATTGACGGTTGGATTTATTTTAGTAACTTTTCATGAAATGATTGAATTTTCTGTATTTACAGGTCAACATGCTTAGAGAGAGGAATAAACTGTATGGTGCTATCAAGTTTGTGGACATAAGTTCAGATGATTACTCTCCGGAAGAGAACCAAGGCCTCAACTACGAAACTGTATGCTGTGAAGACATTCTTGACATAAGCTCAGGGAAGTGAAATTACTCAAATATTTTGCTAACATGACCATCTTTTTATATTTTATTTATAGGTGATGGGGAGAATCCATGCAATCATGGCAGATGGAACTGTGGTTACAGACGTTGAAGTATGGCTCTCTTAAAACTTAGTAATTTTAGTTGTTTCTATGACTTTTACCTTTCTTACTAATCTAGGTCCTGTGTAAAGCTATTGCTAATTCTCGTCTGTTTTTCTTTTTTAATTTTGTCACGTTTCCACCCAAGTACTGTGCATGCCTTCTCTTAATTAAGGTACTCCTGTTATACTACAATGTACCATATCCAATTAGAAGATGCGACTTCTATTTAAAACATGCCCTCTTATATCCGTATCCAGTCCACACCTCCCAAGACCCCAAATAGCTGGAGCCAACATTGGGTAATGGCCTTTTTTAAGTTCTATTTAAAACCTTGAATTTTTGTTCGTTCCAAATACCCTTAAGACTGTACAAGGAGTCTGATCAGAAAACAAAATTAAGCCCTATATGAATCAGGAGCAAGATAAACAAAGATTTTACTAGACCATGAATTTCAAAGCATGTCTAGTATTATATTCATCACATGTTCCTAAATCTTCTTTAAGGTGTCAAAATGATATCAAGGTAAGGACTTGTAAAGGCAGACAAATGCTAAAATTAAAAGATAAATCAAGGAATAGAAAATGTAAAATAAAGAAAAAAATGAAATAAAGTATTCAATCATTATTGCCTTATGAGTGACATGGTCTAACTCCTGCATCGGGTAATCCTCAGCTTCACCAAATGGATGTGCAAAAGATAACTGCAGTTTTTTGTGCACAATCTCATTGTCAAAATATAAAATATAATCTGAATTCAAGTTGATCAGTCTGCATTTGGTTGATGATAGGCTTCCAACTTTGTCTTGCCTTCTAAATTGCATAAAGATTCTATCCTAATCAGAAGTATTGTAGGCTTTCAGAAGGTTGTATGAAGAAATTGGCCTTGGATGGGTTTATGCAATCACAAAATACAAGCCTGTAAGTCCTTTCATTTCTGATAACATAACAAATAATAATGTGCTTCCAGTATTTTCTTCTCCATGTGTAACTCGTCTTAACTGGAAATTGTTATAGTTCTTGTTTGTATTGTATAGTTAATAAAAAAAGCAATCATGCACAGATTGCAACCCTAGCAAATGCAATTTATGGAATTTGGGCAAAATATCGTCTACAAATTACAGGTGAGTCCAGTGTTTCATTCTAGAGAAAAATGCTTAAGTTGTAATTTCACATATCTTTGCATAAATGTCAAGTCTTACATTACTATCAGGACAAAGAAACAAATCCTGGAACCAGCCAAGAGTTTTATATAGGCAGAGTATTTCCACTATACAAAAGAGTTCCTTCTCACACCTGATTTAGCTAAATCATCATCCATATAATTCAGTTCCCTTGGAGTCCATCTGAAAAACACAATTCAAAGACGCAGATATCTCTCTAATTTAATTAAGAAAATGTGCAAACCTCCAAGGAACCATTCTCAGCAATATTCACCCACCCAATAGCATTTCTAGAGTCTCCTTTAACAGAAACGATGTCTTATGGAAGGACTTAGAGACCCTTGGGCCCACTAACAGAGCTCTAACTTCAGCATCAGATGCATCAGCCTCTCCATTGGCCCACTAAAAGCCCATAGCATATCATCATCATCATCGTATTTGAGAATTAAACCCCCAATACCAGTGGCACCCAGGATGCCAGAGAGGCTCCTGCAGCGGCTATCAAACTGAAGAATAAATTCTATTTAAGGCCTGGGGTTCAGTGTATTTGCATCCTTCCCCTTTTCTTTTGAAACGAAAGTTCCTTTTCTTCTTCTTCTTTTTCAAAAAAAAGAGGTCCAATGTAGAAGATTTCCCTATAACCTGGAGTTTTGTATGCTTATAAATCAGAATATCACTTTTTTTCCTTTTTCTTAATGAAATAGCAGTATATAAGTGAAAATGATGAAACCGACAAACCAACTCTCAAGCATTCTATTATGCAATTTGATCTGTAGAATTTGGCCTTTAATGTGATTTTAAGTATTAATGATTCGACTTCTCATTTAGGAAGGTCTAATTGTCATAGCTGATTTAACCAAATAAAAAGATGCCATTTATAAGTAAAAATGCATGCAAGAAACATATTATTGCATCATATTTCTACCGATGATGTTTTTACGTCTAAATTTTTATTTTTCTGCATTCAGATAATTTTCCTTGTAAATTGTAGTATATTTACTTTTTACTAAGGTACGTAACGAAAAGGATCCTGATTATTCTTAAGCCAACCATGCACCTTCTATACTACATCTACAAACCATATATGAGGATATATGTTCACTAGCATGTGGTAAATCTTTTTCTCGTCCATTTTGATTTTCAAAGTCAATGTATGTTGCAATTACTTACCACTTTCTCTAACCTATATGGATTCTCATGTCAATGAGCATCTTGGTTTGTAGGCCGGCCTGCTTTAGAAGAAATTTTGAAGGCACGAAAGGAAAACAAGGTATGCAATATTTAGGCTAGATGATTATATAATGACCGAAGATTTTATGTATAAATGTGCTTGAATTGCATTTCTGCGTTTAACCAAGCATCATATTTTAGGTATCACTACACAAAAGGTAGAAATCAAACAACTTACAGTCACTATTTTGTTGATGCACTATTTTGTAATATGGATACGTAACAAAGATACCAGGTGAAGAATATCAAGTTATTTATTTATTACAAAATACAAGTCTCTAGAGATATGCATAAAGTCAGGACTAGAAAGGAAACAATTGAATGCTGATACATATTTTAGATTCATTGATGTAAAACATGTTATAGAACATGCCAACTAATCCACATTAGTAAACCAGATAACCTGCGCTATAGAAACATTGGGTCTTTGGACTCAGCAACAAGAATACTATAAATTAGACCAAACTTTGGAGTCTATTTTAATACCATAGTGATTGGAGCAGCTATTCCAAATTGTTTCTACTGTAGCTACAGTAGTCCGAACCAGTAAGGAGAAGAAGAAAGAGAAGGAGAAGAAGAAGAAGAAGAGAAGAAGAAGATGAAAGAACTGTCGAACCT